CACTTTCTCCTACATATTTGTTGAACGATGGGCTCTTGGCTGGTGTGTTGCTAGAGTTTCTTGTTATTTATTATTTCTGGCCGGCTATTTGATCATCACTATGGAGCCAGAAAGGGCAGCTGTTGATAAGTCTGCAGTAGGCTGTTGGAAATGCTTTCTATGGCACGCAGTACAGGTTTCTGACCCATATAGAAGGACCGACTTGACATTGGCGTTGAAAACGCGAATCTTGTTTCTTATGCAAAAGTCGTAGAAAAAAAATAAAGAGAATAGAAGAACACAGGAGGAATTATGGGATAACGCCAGTCACACAGATATTTCTGCTCCACTATTCTGTTTTGGATTAGTTAGACGAGAGCTTCACAATACTCGTCGCTGTAGTTGTAGTGTTTCATTTTCTTCATATGTGAAATGCATTTGAATCAACTTTTAGTTGTTAAACGAATGAAATGGTATAAGTTTAAAAAAGGAGTTAAAATGGACTAGCTGAAATTCGTATGAAACTAGAGAATTAAATCTTCTGACCGGAAATCGCTTATTTTACTTATTTATTTATTTGAATAATGGTATTGAAATAATTATTGACAAATGAAACTTCGGTAATTACATATCACCTTTCAAACATCACTGATTTATTGACCAAATGAATTTCTGCTTTGAGCTAATAGTTGACAATGGAGAGAAAATAATTTGTACTGGTGGCTTCCAGCTGACGACAAATAAGTGTCACTCCAGTCAGTATGATTTTCTCCCAGACGTCATTCGAGTGAGTGTCGCACAACCGCCTTTCTGCTACTTATCACTGTGCAAGTCTTTGAAATCATTTCACTTTATCCTAAATACTGCGCTGAAGATGTCGTCCAGAAAGACGATGAAAGCTCCGCAGTTAAACCAAGGAGCTCAGAGAACACTATCAATTGCAAAACTGTGCAAGTTTATTAGTCTATATTTTCTCAACCAAATATATTCTAATCTTACAGAATTTGAGATATGGAACAGTGTTACAAATATATATGCAGGTACATCCAGATGACAAGTCCCAAATAGGACGAAATTTGTATCCTGGATTCCACTGCTAGTCACCATCCACCAATTAAGTGTTACAGATAGACTGTTTATTTGCTGAGATTATACAAAATTAGTCGCCGTAGTAACTGTAATGAAATTAACCTATCAATGAAGTGAAGACAATTTAAATGAAAACAACACGAACTGTAGGATTTTATGTAGGATTTATGCACAAATAAGACTGGCCAACTGTTTTTTTTCAGTTTTTGTCACACCTGAATAAAATGTGAATGAGTCAGAAAGAAAATAATACCTGTGAGTGACCAGCATCAAATTTCTTTTGATGTCCTCTACACTCACTTTCCTTTAGACTTTAGATATGCTGTATACTTGCTATCTAACTATCGTTTTTAGTTTAAAAGGAGACACTAATATAATTCAATTGGACATCATCTTACGTAGTAGTAGGCATTGGGATTTCAGCATATATATGTATATACATATAACATCAAAAACAGTAGGTGAATTCAACCGTAGATAAGGATTGCCTTAGTTTTGTGAAGAGTGGAGTTTCCGTTAAATTAGACTAACCTGTTTTTTTGTCTTTTCCCAATAATGTTCAACAATGCGTAATAGTGTACTAGGCAATAGTAAGAATTCAAGATAATGACGTTGAAAAGTAAATCAATAAATCATTGTGATATTATTGATTTAAGTCGATAAATTATGGGAATATGCATTTTTAAATATCACTGAAATAACTAATTACGATAGTTTGGGTACTAGTGAAAGTGAGATGGGGGAGTTTTCCGATTTATATCTAAAGATTTGTCAGTATTCTGATATGTCATCGTGTATGTTTATTAGGTTTTGTTTAGAAGGATTTTTGGTATGCTTTTAACATCACAGGATTTTTCACGGTGAACATGTATTGCAGTAAGAGAGTTTTCAACAGTTTCATAGAGTGAGGGATGCAGTGAAAACGGATAACTCCTGAAGAATCGAGTCACCCTTAGCAACGATGACATAAAACTACATGTTTTATCAAAACCATAAGCGCTAACTTTGAAGAACAATCTGTCATTGTACAGCCAGTGGCTACAAATCCATTGAATCATATTATCTGATCCAAGGTTTGCATGGCGATTTGATAATCCTAAGGATTCATAGTAGTACAGGGTATTTCGGTGTCGATTATAATAACTGAAGTGCCTAAATAGCCTCAACTGATGTTTTATGAAACAGAGTGTTGAAAATCCATCGAGTCAATTTTAGTTTTAGAACTCATCTTTTAGTGACTATCATACTTCCTTAAGAAATTCAAAAAGAAGGCAATCATTAGTGATACGAGAAACCAAGAAACTGCATTTTCTTGATTTGTTATTAAGAGTGCCTTTAAAGTGATTCCGTTCTAGTTGAGCCTAAACAGTAGGAAAGGCTGATAGTTAGTGCTCGTAAGCCTGAGTTTGATAACCTAATACTGGACAGATAAATATCCGATGATTACACCGAAACAAATAAATATCAAGAAACAGTTTGTAGGGGTTCGATTTGTTCCAGATTTGATTATGGACTAACAACAGTTAGAAAACCTTAAAATACCATAGAGTCCTGGACAGCTACTTCGTCCCATTTTAGAACTCTTCAGAACTGCGCGCCCACTGCAGTTCGAACCAAGGACCTTCCAGTTACAAGATGAACTCATATACCAATCAGCCACTGAGTTTTTAATTTATTCCCTCAGTTTTAAGTAGAATATATGGCTTCAGGCTTTTGTAATCTCGGTGGTGGTGTCCATTTTTCAAGGGGCGAGGTTACTAGCCTTGTCCTAAACCTACCCTCTTTTCCACAATTACTGTCGATTGGTAAACTAGGACGGCGTCGGTGATATAGCGGTTAGGACGCTCGCCGGCCATGCACATTGTCCGGGGTTCGATCCCCGGCCGCCGACGCACTCCTTTACCTCGCGAAGCCGGAAATAATGCTGGTAAAGAGGAAAGGTTGGGCATGAGGCTAGCAACCCCATCCTGTAAAAATAAACACTGCTACAGAAACTTCAAGCTAATAGCTTGGAGCCCTATGTTCCACTGGGGAACGTGAAGGAAAAAATTATTAAATAATTATTACTAGTAAATTAGGAGAGATTTATGAGTACGTCGGCTGGGAATCAAACCGAGAACTCTCGCATGACTGGCGAGCATTCTACCACTGAGACACTGACGCTGTATTAAATCTTAAACCTAGAAGCCCAGAGTTCGAGTGAATGAAAATAGTTGAAGGGCGGATGGTAACTGACGGAAAGCTCTGAAAAACATATATGTGGTTAACTGTATTATAGGATCAGTCGTACTGCATATACTAGCGATAAATATGGGTAGTTGCAAGCCACTCAAGTTAAACAAGTGTTTGCTAGCCAGATCGATGTGATCTAGACACCAGACGGATTTTTTAAATCTCTAATTCAACCCACGGAACTATCACGTTAGTATGATTGCATGATAAATACAAGTAGACTGAAAAAATAAAGAAACAATCAAATACAGTCAAACTATTCAAAAAAGGTGGACAACTCAAGTAGCGCTTTCTAAGAATAAAAAGTAGCTAGAAGATTCTTTTATTTGCCAAAATATAACGTGACTGTTGAAAAGTCGCAGCTTTATTGGTTGGCAGTTGAATAATAACTTTGGTATGCACTAACAACAATATATATATATATATATATATATCAGAAATGCGTCGGTGCGTTGGTGGCACAGCAGTTAAGACGCTCTCCGACCATGAACATTGTCCGGGGTTCGATTCCCGGCCGCCGACGCACTCCTTTACCTCGCGAAGCCAGAAATAATGCTGGTAAAGAGGAAAGGTTGGGCATGAGGCTAGCAACCCCATCCTGTAAAAATAAACACTGCTACAGAAACTTTAGACCTCTACCTTCAGGCTCTATATTCCACTGGGAACGTGAAGGAAAAAAAGAAATGCTATTTAGAGATAATAAGTGGAGATTATTTAAATAAATTACTTAATTACAGCATGTACGAATTACCATATCCCAATGTGAATTCCATATTTTTTTTTGTAAATAATTACTATATATACTTTGGCTATCAAGATACCTCACTGCTTAAATTTCCAGCATGCAAATAATGCATTCTGAATGTGAAATGTTTAGAAAGGGATTGTATCCTGAAGGTTTCCTCAAAGTTTTAGGATTTTAGAGATAGAACTAAGCAATGTGCATTGTTTGTTTCTTTTCAGAATGCTAAACTGAAATAGGAATATTTTCTAAGATTTGTGGCTGTCAGTTGTTCCGATTATTCCTCATCGGGATGGAGTCTGTATTCAGTCAGCTAATTCTAACGTGAGCACTGGCAAGCAATAACTTGAATATTAATACATTACTACCTAACTCCTCTAACTTATCGAAGAATAAGTAACTGTTGCTTCTTGTAGCCAACAAAAGCACAGACTTGAGGGGTATGATGTCGGAGTATGTTTAAATCTGCAATATTTTGATTTCGTTGGACAGATATAATTAACAACTGAATGAAATGTTGAAACATTCCATTCGGTAGGAAGCTTTCCACATCTATTTTGTGGTTTCAAATACTCATTGCCGTAATAGGAAAAATGAAGTGCAAACAGAGCTTGAAATATCTGTCAACAAGGATGTCGGTCAATTTTTTTAACACTATGCTCTTAACATCATGAACAGCCTGGTCAATATGAAACCTCTCATACAGTCATTCTACAGCATTGCCGTGTCGCTTGGTTTAGTAATGAAAATTATTCTACGGAATTTCACTTCAATCTTATATGCATTTACTACTAGCCAGAATAGATCCTTGACAAAGTCTACAATCCTAACATTGGTCCAGTCAGATTCAAAACACTAAGGAAACACAAGGGTTCTTTTAGTTACCGGTTCTAAGAGTCTCTATAAAATTAAGCGAGTTAAAGGAAGTTATTGGTGAAAAGTTATTAAAGTGACTTACTTGACTAGTTCTTATAATTCCAGTCTCCGGTTCAATAACAAAGTACTGATTAACTCCGTCGTCTGACTGGAAGCTGTCAGAATTAGAAGCTTGTTTTCCATTTTCTCGTGAAGGTGATGAAAGAGATGGTGAGGCAGCGAACTGATAGTTTAGTACAGCTGCTCTGTCTCGGTCTATTGCTGTGGTTGTAAGAATCTCCATTCCAGGTGGTGCATTTTCAGGTACTCTTCCAACATATACACGACGAGAAAATTCTGGCTGAAATTCATTCACATCAATAATTTGTACAGTAATAACTCTTGCAGAAGTTAATCGTTGTGGTTTGCCATAATCATGACAGACAATAGTTGTTCGAACAGTCGATTCAACTTCATAATCAAATACTCTTGCTGTACGTAAAGAGAAAATTCCAGGGGCACTAGGTGTAAGGACAAAGTCTTGTTTGTTTCTTCTGACATTTGATTGCATATCATCACTTGTTTGATTTAAAGAACAAGAAACTTTGGAGTTTTCTCCTGTATCATCATCACGAACTGTTAAAACTGCTATTTGACTTGGCGGTGAATTTTCCAGTATGCTAAGCCCATCACCAGATTTTGGTTCATCGAATGGTTTCGAATTAGATTCACTGGTATCCTGCTTGCTCCCTTTGCTTTGATCCGATGAACTGCTGATTAATGCTGCACCAGCAGCTACCGCATGAATGGAAGGCGGGAAATTGTTCACATCCTGTACAGTAAATGTTATATCAGCTGTCGAGTTTTCATTGCCACTGCAAGCTCGATTTACAGCATCACAGGCAACAACTTTAAATTCGTAAATATCACGTATATTAGCTGCTAGTGGCCTTTTGAGTCGAATTTCACCGGTATCTCTGACAAGCTCGAATGTTTCAATCAAATCAGCATCAACATTCCCATGAAAACTATACAGAACTCTACCTCTTTCCCCAGAGTCAGGATCCGTAGCATTAAGCTGCATAACTACAGCACCAACAGCGGTGTTTTCAATTAATCTTTTGTTAAATCTCGTATTCTGTAAAACTGGACTGTTATCATTTTCATCAAGCACTTGAATCTCTAAAGTTTGCCGAGTACATGCTCCAGGATCGCATGCTTCTATGCTGGCTTTATATTCTGCTACTTGTTCCCTGTCAAGAGGACGTAACAACTCCAGGCAAACTGCAGGAAGACCTGATAAATCTAATTTAAATGTACCAGTAGGTTCTACCAAAGTGTAACGTTGTATCTGGTTTTCAGGATCAATATCAGCATCTGTTGCTGGAACAATACTGATTAACGTCCCAACAGAAGTACCCTCGGATAACTGAACTGTTTGAATTTCTGAGCTAAATGTTGGTCTATTATCATTTTGATCTTGAACTTCCACTCTCAGTGCTACACTAGCCGCGAATTCTCCAGCAGCTTTATTTGTTACAAAAATACTCGCCTTTAATTCACATATTACTACACCACAACAGAGTTTAAATTCAGGACATAGCCGTTCTCGATCAATTAAGCGGGCAACACGTATTTCACCAGTTGTCGGTGTTACTGTAAAAAATGTACTATCAGTTAAAAAGTGTAGTTGAGAGCGTAAATTCGGTGGTAAACTTGATATAACTGAACCGATACGTGTGAATGGGGCAATTTCTTCGCGCATATTTAGACGTAATTCAATTTCTTCCACAGATAAACATTCCTTTGGAAATAATACAATCCACTGAAAAGTCCATATAGCTAATAATATTTGAAAATATCTGTTATTCATTATATGAAACATAGAAATTGATACCAGCTAATAATAAAAACAATGATCAGTAGATTTATTTGGTTGTAGTAGAAATCCTAAGTTCCCTGTTGAGAATAAGCCATAAAGATGAATATGTTGTATCATATTTTGAGGCATATTGGGACTTTAAAATTTTTCTGAAGAGTACAATTACCCTTGTTGTTTTCAATAAAATAAAATATACGTCGAATCAAAACGTCCAATGTTTACATAATATATCCATGACTAACAATATCTATCATTTTGTAAAATGCTAACAATTATATTGGAGATAGTGAATCTTCAAACAATGATCGACGAATGCACACACTGTATCCATTGTAGGTTTATTTTTCTATATTAGTTAGCATACAATGACCACTATACAGACAGACAGTTTTAAAAATTGCCTTGTGTGCATATTAGAACAAAGTGTTGAATTGTGTAGTTAGTCAACAAATTCAGACATCATGACCATCATCAGTAAGCGTGTGTATGTATGCTTATACATGCATGCATCCATCCATCTAAACTTCCGTTACTGATTCGATAGTAGTGGTAGTAGTAGTAGTAATAATAATAATAATATTAGTTATAATGATAATAAAATTAAATATTCACTGTAAAATGTACTTCAAACCCCATGAAAAATATGCACCATGTGGTATGGGTGATAGAGGGAAAACAACAGGTCAGGGCAGGTAAGAAACATCTTCATCTGTGGTAATTAGAGAAGAAAATATTCATTTTCTGTGCCAATATTTCTCATGATAGTGTTCCATGCATATTCTTTTTTTGGCTAAGCATAAAAATTAATTTTTGTTAAGAAAAAAAAGGAACGGAAATAATAGAAACAACTGGTATATAATGTGCATACAAATTATTGTAATTGATGTCCAAGGGTGAGAGGAATAATCATCCGACCTTGAGAGTATTGTTACAAATGAACAGGTAAATCTGAAAGCGACATTCTACACGAAAATAAAAGTGTTAGACAGAAGAGAAAACTGAGAAAAAAATCAACTGTGTGGGCAATATAGGTGTACAGACATAAAATTTTAACCAATGGTTCTGCAGTATTCGGAACCCAGAGATAACTATTCATGATTTACTACTACTGGTAGTAGTTTCTGCACAGATATTCACCAGTGTATTATTTTTCATAACATTTTAACTGTACGAGTCCGATAATACCAGCGATGAATATGGTTTAGCTAATCGATTTGAAGAAATACAATACAAATAATGACTGGTAATTATAATCTATTTAAATTAATCCCAGTGTGTTTAAGAAAATCAAGACAAGATTTTTCTGAACATTTCGCTGTGTAAGCCACAGCTTCTTCAGCAGATTCAATCTTTGATTTTTCTTAACCACTTTAGGATTAATTTAAATAATTTCTAATGAATCAGTCTGACTCGGTGCTCAAATTGTTCCAGGAAGTTTGTAACATCTAGGGTCTGGAAAGTTATAATGACTGGTAAAGTTAACGAGGTTCTGTTCCGACATTCTTCCAAGAAAACATGATCACATGTTGCGTACAATAACTTGTAATTCCCCCTCATTTTATGGCTTCCCATAAACTACTGAAATCTGGAAACTGCAACCAGCTGGTGGAGTTATTAAAAGGTAAATGCACTTAAAGTATCTTAGGTAACAAAAAGCCCTGCCGACTGGCTTCAACTAAAAATTATAACCCGTTAGTGAATCAGGTAGTTCGTTGATCACGATTCAAACTTGATTTCTCGAATTGGTAGGACTCATAGCTTCTTACTGAGCGAGCATGTTATGAGCGAAGTCATCATCAAAGATATGCAAAACGCAAGAATTGTCATAATCAGCATTCGGCAGACAGGAGAAAATCGCTGAGTTGTTAAGAAAATTGAGACAAAACAATAAAAATTGGGTGAAAGGTAAATAACTGCAGAATTAGTCAACTATTTAATTATTTAGAGGTTATATTAGTTTTAATTAAGAACTACTGAATAAACAGGGCTGACGTCTAAGCGTGACTTGGAGGAGATAGTGGGGAAAGAGATAAGAGGCTATGGGCAGTCGTGGAGCCAGCTAAAGACCACTGCAGAAAACAGAATGAAATGGAAATGTGCTGTTGAAGCTCCATGTTCCATGGGAAATGCAAGGGAAATACTGAGATCCAACTGTCATTTATGAATGATTGAAGCTTGGTAGAAACTTATCAATCACTTGTGGCTTTACAAACCAGTTGAGAGATATCTTGTGTAAAGTACTTATGTGGTTATTAAAATGATGAGTATTTGACACCGTAATATCTGTGAAATGGTACATAAAAGTAAATAAAATGCGACTTGCCCTATTGAGGTAGGTGGTTACCTGGGGTTGTAGTGAGAAGTTGTGACCAGTAGGGTGCAGCAGGTCGGGCGTGAGGACAAATGCTTGTCGAAGACATTGACTAGGGGCGCGCTATAGCATGAATTGGCAGAAGTTAGAATTCATGGGCCATTGGATCAGGTCCTAGTTGCTTAATGGTCTACGAGCTGGCTCACCTTGTAAACAGAAGGTCCTGGGTTTAAATCTAGCGGTGTGGGTGCGTACTGCTGTAGAGTTGCAAACTGGGACGAAACAGCTGTCCAGTACTCCAGGCTTTCTAATGGTTCTCTAACTAATGTCAGCTCATGATGAAATCCTGTAACCAATCAAATCCCTAAAAACCAACACTTGAATAAAAATGAGAACAGTTTACTAGTAACTTGTCGGTCTGCTATCATAAAGTCTAACTTTCAATGCACTTCTCTCATTCATCTGACATTGCTATTTCACTTTGAAGAAGTACCTGCTTAGAAGTTTTATATCCGTAGACTTGGATACTTCGAAAGTGTAGGAAGATTGGTAACTTAACTTCAACTGGAATACCTTCCTCCATTTCATACACAAAGATCGATAGGTTCATCTTCCAATAAGTTAAAAGTTTAGTCAAAGGTTCACAGAATTCATTTTCTGTAGTTTACATAATACCACGGCATCTTTTCAGGCCATTGAGAGCTTGGTGGTGTGGGCGTGGAAAATGAGATAATGTGTCCGAAAGCGACTTTTAGCTCACTTTTCCTTTCAACTTCTTTTATGACCAATATTATTAGGTATTATGATGATCTGACCATTTGATGGTATAAGATGGTTGGAGGTAATCACCAAGAAGCCTTGAACCTAGGTTTCGTGCTAGTTAGCACTCGTCAGTCAGCAGGGCGTACCTGCAATCTTGAAGGAACTCATGTCCCTTCTGAGATTCGAACCCGCGTCACCCAATGCTGCAGTCAGAGACGTTACCACTGAGCTATTCGGGCTCACGATTGACCTCCTGTAGGACTGTAGTGGAAATTTTGATTTGACACTAGTAACTAGTGTGATGCGTCTAGTCCTCTGATTGGTGTAGACTGAATTCTATCAGTCAGGTTATAATGTGACCACCATTCTAGCTAGCTCGTCGAATAGCTCAGTAGTAACGTCTCTGACTGCAGCATTGGGTGACGCGAGTTCGAATCTCAGAAGGGACATGAGTTCCTTCAAGGTTTCAGATACACCTTGCTGACTGATGAGTGCCAACTAGCACGAAACCTGGGTCCAAGGCTTCCTGCTGATTGCCTCCAACCATCTAATACCGTCAAATCAATGTGCACCGTGATGGCCAGCTAGCTAGAATGGTGGTCACATTACAACCTGACTGATAGAATTCAGTCTACACCAATCAGAAGACTAGACGCCTCACACTAGTTTTCAGTGTCAAATCAAAAGATCTGACCATCTCTATGCCAGATTTTTATCACTTCAATCACCTTTACAAATAGCTTCCTGTTTGACCAATGACACAAATCACTTGTTTTTTGAAATAAACACTACTAAATGTCAGATTTTAGTTTAATGTACAAGCGTGAGGAAGACTCGTAGGAAATAATTTGCACGCATAAATTTCGTAATATTGATAAAGAAAAATATCATGTAAATCTCCAAGGAATGTCTTATTTGTCCTATTACATGGAGGGATCTGTGAGTCACTGGTGCTACTCGTTTTCTGCTTTTTGAATGATGAGTTCTTGTGTTCCACCTAATCTTCTTTGTTTACGTATCCCTGTGTCGCACTACTGGGAGATGCAAAGGCTGTAATTAAGGTTGGAGGTGTGCTTTTGTTAACAGTCACTTGGATTTGTATAAGCAGTTGTCTACAGTCATCTTATCAAATAATTAACATTATTCTCCATGCTCGATTTTTTCCTTATATCAACTTGTGAGGGTAAGTAAAAAGGACAGGTGAGGACTAATACATCGTCTTTTCAATTAGGAAATAAAAAGCTATTTAACACTACAATCAAAGGCACAGACATTATTATCTACAAAATTATTGTTAAGCATGGAATTTCTTTTCAAGATATTTGTGTAAGGAGTACACTTACTGTCATAGGAAAATGCTGAAAAGTGCATATTGAATCAGAAATACTGTTCGCTATAAACTGATTACCATAATTTTGATTGGACAGTGATGTGTAATTGGTCTAGTGTATCTAGTTCTTTGTTTAGTGCAGACTGGATTCTATGAGTCAACTTGGCAGTGTTTACCATCACCGTACACTTTAATTCTTAATATTACAAGGTTAGAGGCAATTGGTAGGGACCCTTGGATCTAGGTTTCGTGCTAATTGGCACTTGTCAGCAAGGAGTATGATGGTAATGTCTTTGACTACAGCAATGGGGGACGCTGGTTAGAATCTCTAAAAGAGCATGAGTTCCTTCAAGGTCTCAGATACGCCTTGATAAAGAGTGCCAACTAGCATGAAATCTAGGTCCAAGGCATCCTAACGATTGCCCTCAACCACCACCTACTATCAACAAATCAGAGTGCGCCGTGATGGCAAGCCACTTGGCATGGTGACCATGTTGCAAACTTGACTGATACAATTCAGTCTGCACCAAACAAAGGACTATTCATATTACGCGACTGCTATTATTATTGGTTATTCCAGTTTATTCTCATTTGTTTTTGACTTTTCAGCATGCTGCCGGTTAAATTTTATAATACATACACACTGTTCATTATATTCTGCATCGGCTATTATTCACCGGCTGCTGGAGACTCCCTATATTTCGATGTGTAGTCCAGTAATCACGCTGAGAAATATTTCGTTACATTTAACACTTTAGATACTGTTTTATGTTTTCACTTTAACACGATGTAAATCTCTATTACTCAAAACATTTTAATATTCTATGTCATATGATGCACATATAAATAATTTTTAAATAATGTTTATGGAAGTTGTACAAAAAGATGAACTGTTTTCCAAAAGAGTTTCTTCCATTTACACAGGATGAGTAGGACCATTCAGGCGAAAACTGTTTGGATCCAAGTTCGGTGACCTGTTTGAAAGTTGTGATACCTATTCTTCCATCTTTTATTATAATATTATTCTTATTCAGATGGTTAACTGATTTAGCCACTCAACTCTGTACACCTCAGAGTAAATATTGTAGGACTGAGCAGCTTAAAAGTGAGGAGTCTATCCAAAATGCTTTTCGTAAAAAAAGATATTTGTATTACTGCCTATTATGGGTATTTCTTTTAAATTAAAACTACATAAACTGTTAATTCAAAGTTAATTCGAAATACGAAATCCCATGTAAACTTAGGTGGAAAGGGAATAAGCGTCGGTGGCACAGTGGTTAGGACTCTCACTGACCATGCAAATGGTCCGGGGTTCGAACCCGCGCCGACGCACAACTGATATCTATGATCGGCCTGCAAAATTTGGGCCGCCGATATCCATGCTGAAAATTCCATACTTGTACCAAAAATACAGTGTGGAATCAAGCTGTAAATTAAAAAAAATATTAGAAGTTTCATCACTATGTATGTGGCAAAGATATATAACAATGTAGAGTGTGAAGTGCTAACAACAGACAGCACTCATTATGAATATTTTTTCATTATTTCGTCTTCCTAGTGGAACATGGGAC